TTTAGATTATCCGTGTCTTTTTGTAAATTGATTGTGTTGTCAAATTTTTTGATAAAAAACATCTCCGCGATTTCTCTTTTTTGTACATATTTCTCATGATGTAAAATTTCAGGAGCGGACCAATCAAAATCGTGACCATTATCGAATTTATGATTACTAATGACTGAATAATTATTATTGTGTACCTTAATGTTATTAAAATGTTCTTTTATGCGTGTGCCTAATTGTCGTTTAGTCTGACCGACGTATGATGAGGAACAATTTGCGCAGTTAATTTTGTATACAACTCCTGTTTTTTCTTTTAAAGGCAAAGGATCTTTGACACGTTTAATTAGTGTATTCAATTTTTTCGGTATACAATAAACGCTTTGCATGCCCGTAGATTGCAATAATCTCGAAACGTTTTCACTTAGTTCTTTGACGTACGGTAATTTTATGATGCGGTCAAATTTTTCACTAACTAAATTATCATTGTCAACATTGCGATCGTCGTTATTTCGTGTCTCAAGTAATTTTGGCCTATTTTTTACAAACTTATTAACCACATTCGATGGAAAACCATTGTTTATCAGTATCGATTTAACCTTAGCGATGTTTGCTGGATGAAAACTGTCGTCCGATAATAAAATCGCATGATCGACCAGACTAAAAATGGTATTCTTTTTGTATTTAAAGGGATGGTTTGAATAATAATTGATATATCTACCCGAACAAGTGGGTTTTATAAACCAATTAGTTAATAGAATACCATTCTTTCTCATCACAGTAGTGTTCAAAAAATTAATCGAGTCGTTACTTTCAATTTCATGAGTAAATTTTAATCTAGGATGGTAATCATTAAAAACCGACAAAATTTCATCAACACCCTCGCATGGGATAATTGTGAAAATATCATCCACATATCTGCAGAACCACGAGGTTTTGAAACTCAATCTTTCTAGGCAGTTAGTCTCTAAATCATCCATTACGATATCCGCTAATATGGGTGAGAGCGGAGACCCCATAGGACTGCCAAAAATCTGTTCATAATACTGTCCATTAAAAACAAAATTAGTAGAGTCTAATATGAACTCAATCACATATAAAAATTGGGAAAGATTGAATTTCGTATTGGTTGAAATGTCCATCCAACGCTTTTTTACGCCGCTGATTACTAACTCTTTCGGAATATTCGTAAACAGAGAGGTAACGTCTAATGACACTAGTAATTCGTCATCAGTAATCACCTTATTCCTAATACTCTCGACGAAGGACCAACCATCCTTAACAAAAGATCCCGGTTTCTTAATCGAATTAACAAGTATATTATGGATGTAGTTAGAAAGATTATATAACGGACTACATAATGAAGACACTATAATTCGCAATGGACAATCGATTTTGTAGATTTTCGGTAACCCGTAACATCGTGGTAAGTTCCCGTTGGTTACGTTTAAATAATTATAAGTGGTCATGTCTATCAATTCATTATCGAGCCAAGACTTGATGAGAGAATGCATTTTATTAGTTAATTTTTTAACAGGATTTTTATTGATTTTTCTGTAAGTCGATTTGTCATTTAATAAAACTTCCATTTTTTCCATATAGTCAATTTTATTAAGGATCACCGTCGTTTGTTCTTTGTCAGCCTTAGTAACAATAATATCATTGTTATCCTTTAGAAATTTTTTTGACTCAAAAGAACATCTGAGAATATACTTGTCTATAAAATTAGTATGCCTTTGAGTGGTTAAAAAATTCCTGATAGAATTAGCTACCGAAATCCTAGTTGTTTCACGTAAGTTAGAAGGAATCCTGTCAATACTCACCTCTAGACTTTTAACTATCTCAAGTGCGGTACTAATACGATCCCTCCTAACACCTTGTTGTATTGGTAAACCGAAATTATCACCAAGGCTTAACAAATCAAGTACTTTATCCGGTATCACTTTATTACTGAGATTACTAATCCATTTGGATTTGTCCATATTAATAAAAGGATTCACGACTACATTATTCTTACGTAGCAAGGCATTGAATTTATTAATTAATTTGTTTTTTGGTCATATTTTTAAAAACCAAAATTCTCTCCCTATTAAGTTCAGTAAAATTCGTGAGTAACTGTCGAGGTAAAGAGTCAAAAAGTCTACGCTCGATATATGCTATTCTTTTATGTAAATATTTCAAGTGAACATTAATATCCTTTATCTCGAGTCTCAATAATCTAAATTTATAATGTTTAAAATTACATTCCAACCTTCGACACATGTTACTGCTATATAAATTTATTCCATTTCTTAAATTATCGATGTGTGGTGGTAGAATGTCGTATGTCCTGCATCCTAGTAAAAATATAAGCTGCTGGTTGCAATTAACAATGCTCTTCTTTGTATTGATCCATGATTTTAAGAGGGTTGTGTAGTAGTTGCCATACCGTGTGGAAATTATACGAAAAAAACCAACGTTTGAGAAAGACTCCATAATTAGGTCCAGGAGTGATAATAAAAGATGTAAAAATCTCTGAAGTCATCAGATGATAATTAAAAAATGGTAGTAATTTAATCAACCAACTCTGGCTATTTAATGATCTTTATTTAATATTCACGACGTTTCGGTCATGGGTTTCGGCCCTTATCAAGTGCTACAAATTATAATAATGACAATTATTAGAAAATTAAAAAATTAATTAAAAAGTAACTGAGTAACAATAAATATTTCCACACATTAATATGTATTCTACCTAAAACACAACTTTCTATATAGAAACTTAATTTCTGATCTTAAAATGTGACATGATATAATGTGAAACAATTAACTATATTATTGTGTTGATTTCAAGCTCTTTATATACTCATTACTTCGATCAAACTAAACGATCTTTATTAGTTTATCGTAAACAATATTTAGATTATCCGTGTCTTTTTGTAAATTGATTGTGTTGTCAAATTTTTTGATAAAAAACATCTCCGCGATTTCTCTTTTCGTACATATTTCTCATGATGTAAAATTTCAGGAGCGGACCAATCAAAATCGTGACCATTATCGAATTTATGATTACTAATGACTGAATAATTACTATTGTGTACCTTAATGTTATTAAAATGTTCTTTTATGCGTGTGCCTAATTGTCGTTTAGTCTGACCGACGTATGATGAGGAACAATTTGCGCAGTTAATTTTGTATACAACTTCTGTTTTTTCTTTTAAAGGCAAAGGATCTTTGACACGTTTAATTAGTGTATTCAATTTTTTCGATATACAATAAACGCTTTGTATGCCCGTAGATTGCAATAATCTCGAAACGTCTTCACTTAGTTCTTTGACGTACGGTAATTTTATGATGCGGTCAAATTTTTCACTAACTAAATTATCATTGTCAACATTGCAATCGTCGTTATTAGGCACACGCATAAAAGAACATTTTAATAACATTAAGGTACACAATAGTAATTATTCAATCATTAGTAATCATAAATTCGATAATGGTCATGATTTTGATTGGTCCGCTCCTGAAATTTTACATCATGAGAAATATGTACGAAAAAGAGAAATCGCGGAGGTTTTTATCAAAAAATTTGACAACACAATCAATTTACAAAAAGACACGGATAATCTAAATATTGTTTACGATAAACTAATAAAGGTCGTTTAGTTTGATCGAAGTAATGAGTATATAAAGAGCTTGAAACCGACACAATAATATAGTTAATTGTTTCACATTATATCATGTCACATTTTAAGATCAGAAATTAAGTTTCTATATATAAAGTTGTGTTTTAGGTAGAATACATATTAATGTGTGGAAATATTTATTGTTACTCAGTTACTTTTTAATTAATTTTTTAATTTTCTAATAATTGTCATAATTATTATAATTTGTAGCACTTGATAAGGGCTGAAACCCATGACCGAAACGTCGTGAATATTAAATAAAGATCATTAAATAGCCAGAGTTGGTTGATTAAATTACTACCATTTTTTAATTATCATCTGGTGACTTCAGAGATTTTTACATCTTTTATTACAGTTATATGTTCTTGTAATGTCTCTAAAATGTTACATTGCAACTTGAAAGATTGTAACATTGCTGCAATGTAACTGCAATGTTCTGTGCTGTACGGGAACCATCTTGAGTAACAAACTTTAAACAGTAGTGATATCATTCAAAAATCAACAATCTATATTGACATGTTAAATGGAATTAGTATATTACTTACTTCACACATTCTCGTAATTGTTCGTTGTTAATTACAATTAAACATTATTGAATTTCGCGGTACACTAAAAAAGCTGAAATGATCTGAACTTTTATTTCCTACTATATTTTCTTAACGCCGAATTTAGAGAAAGTCTAGTGATTTTAATTTGATATTGGTTTCTAGCGTCCATGAAACTGCACTTTAAAGCGGGGAACACACACTTTTGCATAAGCGCATAAGCATATGCATAAGAAATTTAATTGATTGAATTTCTTATGCATACGTTTATAGATCAATCAAGATTCTTATTCTTACGCTTACTCAGTGAAAAATGATGGTCGAATCGGTGTCGAGACTCGTTGTCGAGTCGATGTCAAATTTGTCGAATCGAAGTCGAATCGATAACGATTCGACCAATCATTTCTCACTGGATATGCGCCTATGCAAAAGTGTGTGCTCCCCACTTAACCCATCGAAGTTCGTTATCCCCACCTAAGAGACGAAAGACCTCGTGGCACTTCAGGTACGTGGTCGAATAATCGGTCTCTTCTGTGTTCGACTCTTGTACGGATAAGACGCGTACCATGTGTCTCTTCAATAAGTAATTTTTCGGAAAAGTTTGTCGTAGAGATTAGATTTTCATTTATTACTTATTATACTTCGCACAAATATCATGAATTAAAATTGTATCCACTTTGTGCGAATAATAAAATTTATAATATGAAGAAAAATGGGCTAATTAAGAGCCAAGCGTGGTTATATTAATACGCGAAAATGTGGAAATTTTACATTTCAAAGTTTTTTTTATTTACATATTGTACGTTTCGGTCCTCTGTTATTAAAAAAGCCTTATATCAATTAATAATAAAATTTAATTCTCGCGTTTTGTTCCGAATAAAAGTTTCTTTTTCGTCTCCGGAAAAACTGTATCGTTTGAGCAATCGGTCGTTGAGAGCGATCGCTTACCTGCCGCGTGGCAAGATTTCAGCTTTTGTGCTCAAGAGGATTTTCAACTCGAACAACCACCTACCTGCTCGATATATTTGGTAAGTCTTTATACCTCTCGGGAAAAAAAATTTATATAAGTATAATAGTATAAAATTATATAGAAATATATAAAAATATACATATAATTTCAAAATTATATATGAAATATGTCTATACATAATTAGATAAAAGTGCTTTTTATATATACATTCGCCAAAAAATTATCGCAACACACAATTAATATCAAAACTTCGCGTAAATTCAAATAAGCATATTTCCGCGAAAAATTATTGTATGTGAAAAATTTTTTTGTTTTAAAGGGTGAAGTCTCTACTTTAAGAAACTTTTATTCAATTTTGATTTCATCCTCTCCCTCTCTCTCTCTGGAGACTATATCTGTAAACAAAAAAACTTATGCAGATTTATGTATAAATACTATAAAAACGGTATAAAAACAATTTCTCTCAAAATACACTAAAATGCAATAAAAAATCCAAAAAAAAAAAGAAATATCTCTAGTTGAAAAATAATATTAATGTCGAATCAATTATACTTGTATTATATATATATATATATATATATATATATTTGTTTCCTACCATGGATAAAATATATATAATTTATATAAAATATATATAATTATATCTTTGTTCCCTACAGAAATATATATATATATATATATATATATATATATATTCCTGTAGGGAACAAAGATATAATTATATATATTTTATATAAATTATATATATTTTATCTACTTGTTTTTTAATAATATAAACATTATATCTTTATAAAAAAACTGTTAATCTCGGCTCAAATTATTGTGTTACAATAAAAATAAAATCTCGACGGCAATCGGAGCCTGTGCGGATGACATGCACAAAATTAATAAATTAAAATGAGATCTCAAGTCAAACTCATTTATTAAATTCTAAACGTTTCGACCCACTTCGGGTCTTCTTCAGTAGCTGCAAAATACAAAGAAACAAAAAAAAAAAAGATAATCGGTACAATCAGAAAATTATAAAACTCGTATACATACAATCCGCAAATAAATTAAATATCATTCTCCTCCCTATTCGAACCGTCCGGCCGTCGGAGTGTCTCCCTAACGGTGACCATCGTCAGGAAGGAAGCAGAGCAGTGACTCCCTTACCAACACTAATCAACATAGTATAAATTAAACATGTAAGATCCCCAAGAATTATAAATTAAAAACCGGGAAGAACACTCACCCCGACAGCAAAAACAGAGAGAAGACGATGCTACACGTGACACATCACTCTAACGACTGTGCGGTATTCTACCTCGACACAGTCGATACATATATACGCAAAAAAAAAAAAAAACAAATATAAAAATAAAATATGAAAATAAAAATAAAAACAACTAATACTTATCGGCACTCATGTCAAAGGTCTAACGAAAAAATCCGGTTATGTATAATCACAAAGCTAGATTTTGGTAAATTTTTCAATTAACAGATCAAAATTCTCGTTTAATTTGTCGGTGTCGCTATGTAAATTTAAACTATTCTTCTGACGCTTTATGTGGATCATTTCGGATATCAAACGTTTACCTAAAAAAGGCTCCTCGTCCAAGACTTTTACATCCTCCCAATTAAATTCATGGTTCAATAATCTATGTTCCGATATGACTGATAATTGTGACGCGTTTCTTTTTATGTTGCTGCGATGTTCTTTCATCCTAGTTTTCAACAATCTACCCGTCTGCCCTACATACGACGCATCACAATCCATACAATCAATTTTATAAACTACATTATTATGGAGTTCCCTTGGTAACTTATCCTTGTGTACTTTGATGAATTTACGGAGACTGTTAATTGCTGTATAGGATGGAATGACATCCAAATCACGTGTAATGTCCTCGATTCTCTTTGATACATTATTAATATACGGAATATTAAAGTACGAAACTTTTTTCTGCGTTGGAATCTTGTCATTGCATATATTTGTTCTATTGTTATGCAACTTATTATTGTACCGGAAGAACAACTTTTTTAACCGCGCTTGTAATGTTTGAAATATCAATTTGAGAGGATAATTATTAGACAAAAGAACTCCAATCATAGACTCAAAATTATCTTTATGGAATTTCGGATGAGATAGCCAAAAAACTCTATCTATGAGGCTGATAATGGTGCCCTTTTTATGGCAGAGAGGATGCTGCGACTCAAAATTTAAATATCTACCTGAATACGTCGGCTTATGAAATAAATCAAACTCAATGCTCCCATTATTTATAATAATAGTGACGTCTAAAAAATTCAATCGGTTGTCAACCCCCTCCTCCATGGTGAACTGCAATCTAGGATGGAAAGAATTGAAAGTGTTTAAAACAATTTTAAGCATGGAGGGAGGGGCCGCCAACGCGATATCGTCAACATATCTAAAATAAAATGGAAATGACATTGGAATCGCAGCAATCGCTCTATTCTCCAAATCTTGCAACGTGATATCCGCAATGATCGGTGAGAGGGGGGAACCCATAGGCGTGCCAAAGGTCTGTTGATAACATACATTATTAAACATAAAATAAGTCGAATTCATAATAAAACAAATTGCCAATAAAAATTCATCCCGTGGAATAATACACTCTTTTTCAATATACCTCCATCTGTTAATTAAACTATCGATAGCCATATCCAATGATACGTTGGTGAACAATGATGCAACATCTAGTGAAACTAACTTTACATCACTATCCACACATAAACCATTTAATTTGTTCACTAATTGGAAACTATCAGAAATAGCCGAATCAGGTTTCGGAATTGCCTTATATATTATCTTATGTAAAAATTTTGCCAAGTAATAAAGGGGTGTATTCCTAGATGACACGATGACACGTAAAGGGCAATTCGGTTTATGCACCTTCGGCAGACCATACGCTCTCGGTAAAACCCCGTCCGTGCAGTTCAGGGATTTATATGTTGTTGAAGAAATGTAATTCTTCATTTTCCATCTATTTAAAATCCCGTGTAATTGATTAATTAGGTTCCTAGTCGGATCTTTTTTAACAACAGTATAAGTATCCCGGTCAGCCAGCAAATCACACATTTTGTCCATGTACATATCTTTGTTCATCGCAACCGTGATATTACCCTTATCCGCCTTCATAAATAAAATATCAGGATTATCTTGGATGAATTTACCCGTCAATTTGTAAGCCTTACATAAACTATTTTTTGTGTGAGCTTTTTCAGACATGGAAATATGGAATTTATTTATTATGGGAAAGGCTCTACTTCTGACTGCAGATCGTTTTTCCACAGGGAGTTTAAAAATATTTTGTTCTATATTTTTAACTCTATGGTGGTTTTATCTTTGTCAAATACTGGCAGACAGAAGTTCTCTCCTAACCGCAACAAATCTCGAATTTCACACGGTATCGATACGGATGACAAATTTAAAAACCATTTATCTCTTTTGTCAGCAACATCAGGATTTAAAGAAACAAAGGAAGTCGGGTTCAAGGAAACACTAAGAGACTGAGACGGCCCTGACTCACATGGCCTTGAAGAAAATTCTTTCGTACACGTGTAATAATATTGGATAGGACGAATATTCCTATTATTGAATTTATTTTGTTTATCTAAGAGCCATCTAAATTTATCATCCAGTCGAACCCGCTCCTTATTATAAAAATAATGTAATGATCTGCTTTGCTCACCGAAAAACCCATCACAATAACACGCTGGGAGATCTAACATGATGTAACGAACGAGTTCATAAATATCCAATCTAACTTTGTGCCTCTGTCTATGAGCATCATAAATTTCATTTCTTAAAATGTCTTTAATAGTACGTCTTATAATAAATTTGTGTTTCAATACTGACTTATAATGATATAAATTATTAATATAACGAGAAAGAAATATAAGATGAGACGGTGTAACATCCTGATTTAAACAATCTTTTAGAAATTTAATTCGCAAGTTTAATCTAATCAGGCTCTTGTTTAATTTAATCCAATTCTTCAAATGTTTGACCGCGCCCCAATTAAAACTGTGTCCAACAAATTGGAAGAAATTCCTCAACGGACGCATTATTACAGCCAGCGTAAATTCAATATAAAAAAACTGTTAATCTCGGCTCAAATTATTGTGTTACAATAAAAATAAAATCTCGACGGCAATCGGAGCCTGTGCGGATGACATGCACAAAATTAATAAATTAAAATGAGATCTCAAGTCAAACTCATTTATTAAATTCTAAACGTTTCGACCCACTTCGGGTCTTCTTCAGTAGCTGCAAAATACAAAGAAACAAAATAAACGAGAATTTTGATCTGTTAATTGAAAAATTTACCAAAATCTAGCTTTGTGATTATACATAACCGGATTTTTTCGTTAGACCTTTGACATGAGTGCCGATAAGTATTAGTTGTTTTTATTTTTATTTTCATATTTTATTTTTATATTTGTTTTTTTTTTTGCGTATATATGTATCGACTGTGTCGAGGTAGAATACCGCACAGTCGTTAGAGTGATGTGTCACGTGTAGCATCGTCTTCTCTCTGTTTTTGCTGTCGGGGTGAGTGTTCTTCCCGGTTTTTAATTTATAATTCTTGGGGATCTTACATGTTTAATTTATACTATGTTGATTAGTGTTGGTAAGGGAGTCACTGCTCTGCTTCCTTCCTGACGATGGTCACCGTTAGGGAGACACTCCGACGGCCGGACGGTTCGAATAGGGAGGAGAATGATATTTAATTTATTTGCGGATTGTATGTATACGAGTTTTATAATTTTCTGATTGTACCGATTATCTTTTATTTTTTTTTGTTTCTTTGTATTTTGCAGCTACTGAAGAAGACCCGAAGTGGGTCGAAACGTTTAGAATTTAATAAATGAGTTTGACTTGAGATCTCATTTTAATTTATTAATTTTGTGCATGTCATCCGCACAGGCTCCGATTGCCGTCGAGATTTTATTTTCATTATATCTTTGTTCCCTACAAAAATATATATATATATATTCCTGTAGGAAACAAAGATATAATGTTTATATTGTTAAAGAACAAGTGGATAAAAT